TATTTTTGGAACAATAAGGTATACTATGATATTGGCTGTTACCAAACTTTAAGATAGATGACTGTATTGAAATTGTACGATTGGGCTGCGTCTGGAGGGTCTGACCTCTGGCATATTGTATTGATCTATGTGGTGTGAAATTGTTTAAGAATCTTTTGTATTAGATAAATGTTTGTTGATGACTGAGGTATATTGAAATGGGTGAAATTAGGTTATTGATGAAAAATGTTGTATTATTCTCAAAAGAAGAAAGAGTTTTATGTATAAAAGTAAATGATATGGCATGATAAATGAAATATGAGAGATGTGATTGTAATACGTGAGTCAGATAGATTGATAGATGTTATTAGGTTATTGTACTCATAATACATGTATTGTAATACATTAAGTTATGTAATCAAAACTCACGTATTATGACACGTTGATCTATGAAAAAATATAGAGAAAAATGTGAATGAAATTAGAAATGTGGAGCAAGAGAAAGAGAAAGAGAAATGGAATAAGTATAGATAGTCACAGAGATACACTAGGGGGTAAAAGACGGGGGCAATTGCGAAATCTGGGAGAAATGAGGGTGGTGGATGTCTATTCATGATTGTGCAAAAAAATTAATGAAAATAGAGAGAAAAGACACCACAGGCCTTACACTCATTTTCTAACCTAAACCCTTAACTACATCTTTGCTAAAAGGGGGCAGGTGGGCACATGTGTGTATTCGTGTTGCTGCGGCTAACTAGCAGCTATCTATGCTATAAAGTCTTCAAGGAATTCCAGGGGCAATAAATATGAAAATGTAATGAATGTGAAATTGTGATGAACATGAAATAGTATAGAGATTGTATGGTTATAATATGTGCATTGTAACATATTGATTAATGTCGTTACGATATATGTGTTGTAATACATCGACGGGTGCGATTAAGACACATGTATTGTGACATATTAATTGATGTGATAGAATACATGTATTATGACTTACATATTAGTGTAGAAAATGTATGTCATAAATAATTACAAAAATGATTGATTTGTTGGATGTGTGCTATGGTCTGATGATGATTTGTGTGTTTTGAGTGTTATAGTTAATTTATGTGTGTTAGAAATGTATTAGTCAATATTTTCTGTACTATATAAATTTTATGTCAAATAAAGAGATTTAGTGGGGTGGGAGATACTCACTCTTACTAATATTTTCAGGTAATGAAAGTGAAGAGATAAAGATGACTGGTCCGTTCTAGGATCATAATCCAGTGGTATCGGGAGAAAGTCTGCTCTGTAGGAACTAGAACAATTTGAGAAATTATAATATTTTATCCTAATTACATTTCATGTTAACCAAGTTATGTAAATATTTCCTTAATGTCAAATTTTAGAATTTATAATATTTTGGTAAATTTGGTTGTAATAAATAATTTGGAGATGTTCTTAATGATGTTCTGAACTTATATATATACACAATGTGAACCAAATAACTTGTTAGATGTAAATTTAAGTTTATTTATTACTTTAAAGTCTTGAATTTATTCCTTTGAAAGCTTTAAGTACTTTAGAATCTTATAGAATTTTCATAAGTGGGATGTAAGTTTTTTTTTTATTCAATTCTTAAATCTATAAAATAGAATAAAAAAAATTCTTATATTTTTTCTTTTGCTTATAAAAATTTATTTACTTTTAAATAAGAAAATGAGGATGTTACAATTTGGTATTAGAGCAATTTGTCCTAACAAGTTTGGGGTATGGGACTAGTTCGTTGTATCAAGTGTTGTGTATATTAGTATTTTTGTAGGATAAGATTATGAGATGATAGTTTATTAAGTGTGACCTGTTTGGTACCCCAAATAGGGATTTGTGTGATTTAATGTGTATGTGTATACGTATGTGAATAATAGACTTGCTAATATATGTATGATGTGCTTATCTAGATTAGGAATGACCAGTAGAGATAAATCAGCTGAAGCAACCGCTAAGATTCTAACAAGTATGGACCAAGTGTTAGAGCCTTTAATGTATGATCAGGATGAAGAAGTAGCTAGAGGTCATGAGTTGCCATCATTCATAGAACATCGTCCTCTAAAGTTTGAGGAAGAGTTTGACCTGGAAGAAGCTTAGAAGTAGATTGTAGACATAGAATGAGTCTTCGATGCAATGGAATGTAGAGAAGAATATAAAGTTGATTGTGCCACGTTTATGTTAATTAGAAAGACAGAAGATTGGTGGAGGATCACAAGTCACACTTTGCCACAAGAAGGTGGATTTATCACTTGGGAAACATTCAGAGCAAGTTTCTTGGGAAATCATTTTCCAAGAGATCTGGAAAAACAAGAGGAAAGAAATTTCCTTAGATTAAAGTAGGGAGAGATGTCGGTGAAAGAATATGCTATAAAATTTTACGAGTTGATGAAATATTAGTCCTATTTCAGAAAGAGGACGATGACAGAGGCTGGTGTATCCAATTTGGGAATGGACTGAGGAGCGATCTTCGCACTATAGTTAGCGTTTTCAATTAACGGACCTACTAACATTGATGAGCAAGTGTGTAATTTTGAAAGATAGTTTAAAAGGGAAGCTAGTAAAAAATGATAGAATTAGAGGACCATTAGGACAAGAAAAAAAACATGCAAGATTACAAAGAGAGTTGTACCCAAATACAACTCTGTCTCAAGCAAAGAGAAAGGCACCTCATAGTAACAACAACAATAACTCTAAGAACTCTCACGGTAAGGTTAGATGTTTCCGATGCAAGGGACCTCGTGTGGTCCAAGACTGCCCTATGTCACTCTTGCCCTGTAACCATTATGGAAACAAGGGGCATTCAGCCAATGTTTGTCAGTCAACATCTCAGAAAAGTGGAAGCACCAATGGAAGCAAGAAGCATGCATCTAAAAGCAAGGATCGTTTGGGTTCAATCAAATGTTTTCGGTGCGGGGGACCTCATATGGTGAAGAATTGCGCTCGACTACCTACAATGTGCGACCACTGTGAAAAGACAGGACATTCAACGGATGTCTGTCAGTTTGTACCACAAATGATGTATTTGTGGAGGACCTTTTTTAGTGAAACAATGTATAGAGCAGGCGATGAAGGACGTGTAATTTAGGGACTATGTGACATAGTGTTGTTAATAGGATTTTGTCGTTTTGATGCAACTTTAAAATTTTGTATATGGTTCATCATGGCACAAAAACTTGTTTTGTTTTGTTTTGTTTCCCTATTCTAGGCAGAGTTATAATTCTTAAATCTGTTAAAGGGGCAAGAAATTTGAAAGATTTACTTTGATTAGGAGTAGAATCTTGATTTCTAATTTTGAGACAAATGCCCACATGATCAGATTTAGGGATTGAGACATGGATAATAGAACTGTGCTAAAATGTAAACTCCAAGCCTCATTGGCAATAACTCAATTCTTTCCTTAAGACTACATCTATTCCAAGTGAAAGGATTGTCTTTGTACCCTAGGTCAACTAGCTCACATTTGTTAAGACAGTCAGCAAATCTTTTAGAAAGACAGGGGTTGACAGGTCTATTCTCAACTTTTTCAAAATCAAATAAGATCGAATTAAAATCCCTAGCTAGAACCTAGGGGCTATGAACATAAGTACTGAGAGTGATAAACTCATGCCAAAATTTAGATCTAAGTTTATCATAGGGACTAATATAAATGAAGGAGAGAATCCATTCCTCCTTACCAATATTCCTAACTATAAGGTGGACAACATATTTTGAAATGAACAGGGTAGAGATCTGAACCCTACTATTGTTCTAGAGACACCAAATTCCTCATAATACTCAATAATATCCATTTTAATAGAGTCTTCCAAATTAATTCTTTTTATAATATTGTCAACTCTAACGAAACTAATTTTAAGTTCAAATAAGACGACAAGTTTAACTTATAAATGGCAATAAAGTCATTAACTAACTTAAAAAAATATTTGCTACCAGTCCCACAACAAGTAAATGTTTATTTAAATCATAATTTTTAAATTTTATTCTTAAAATTTATTTTACATGAAGGCGTCTTTAAAAATTATGTTTCTTTCATTTTATATCACACAATTTTTTAATATTAGATATTTATTTTTTTAATTTAAATTTTACATAAAATTTGTTTATATTTTAATCTTATGTAAATAATAAAATATTTAATTTATTTAAATTTATAAAATTTATTAATTTACCTCCTTTTTAAAATATGAGTTTTAGTTATTAAATGAGAATACTTTTAAATATTATCTTTCACGATAATATTTTTAAGAGTTAAGTTTTTTTTTTTGACACATTAGGTAGCTTTCTTTTTATAGTAAGTATTTATTATTTGATTTTGCTAACATTAATTATTAAAATTAATTTAAACATATAAAATTATTATTATTTTTTAAAAATATTTTTCATATTTTGTTTTTTAAAACATATAAATATATTTTTCAATAAAAAATATCATTTTTAATTATTTATTCTTAATATTAAGAATTGAAATAAATAATTTTTAAATTTTATGTTTTAAACAATTTCTATATTATAAATTAAAATTTATTATTTTTTAAGTGAAACATTAGTAGAATTATTTATTATTAATTTTCTGACATAATTTTACTTTTTTATCCACGTTTATATGGACTTTGTTTTAAATTTTTTAAATTAAAATGTTACTTAACTTTTTTTATTATTTTATATAATTTTTTACAATTTTTTATATGTTTATCTTTAAAATTATTTAATTTTATTAAATTTTTATCATTTTGATGCATATTAGTTACTTATTTCTTTTTGTAGATAATTTTATTATACATATAATTATTTATAAAATATAAGATTTATTATTTATGTTAAATTATGGGTATATTTATTTAAAAATAAAATGCGAGTTGCTATTTATAAGTTTATTTAATATAATAAAATATTTATTGTTATAATTTTTGCGCGGAAAGTTCATCAGTTAACAAAAAAATAAAAATAAAAAATAAAAATAAAAATAAAAATAAAAATAAAAATCAGGAAAACGCAGAAAAAACCTGAAGCTGCGATACTAGGGTTTAACACGAACGGCTAAATACTAACAGAGAGAAAATTAGTTCAGATGATCGTGTTCCCCAAATGGTAGAAGGAAAAAAGCTGCAGACAGAAGCAGCCATGGCGGAAGCAGAACAGAACGCTCCTTCCTCGCCCGAGTGTGATGACCAAACAAAAATCAACAAGAAGAAGCTGCGCAAGAGAAAAAGACCTCGTAAGATTCAGCACAAACAAGATGAGAATGAATCCGTAGAGGAAAAGAAGAATGAGAGGATTGACAGCGTAGAAGAAGAAGAAGAAGAAGAGGAGGAGGAGGAGGAGGAAGATACAAAGGTGAATAACGTTACATCTGGAATCATGAGCACCGAGTCTTTCTCGTCTCTGGGATTGTTAGAACCTACTTCCAAAGCTATTACCGATATGGGCTTCCATCATATGACTCAGGTAACGCGTTTTCCTCCTTTTGTAATTTAAATTAATCACATTTATTCACAGACCTTTGACTCGAATGAATAAAACAAATGGCGAAATGCAGATTCAAGCGAGGGCAATTCCACCGCTTTTGCTCGGAAAAGACGTTCTTGGCGCTGCGAGAACAGGTGCTGGCAAAACCCTAGCTTTTTTAATTCCAGCGGTAGAGTTATTGCACAACGTTCAATTCACGCCGCGGAATGGAACGGGTGTAGTTGTCATATGCCCAACCCGAGAGCTCGCGATTCAGACGCATGCTGTGGCGAAGGAGCTTCTCAAGTACCATTCACAGACCCTTGGATTGGTAATTGGGGGTTCGGGTAGAAAGGGCGAGGCTGAGCGCATTGTTAAAGGCGTGAACCTGTTGGTGGCAACGCCAGGCCGCCTTCTCGATCACCTTCAGAATACAAAGGGCTTCCTGTATAAAAACTTGAAGGTAATGTAATCAAATGTGTTCCTATTTGTTGCGTTGCATGTTTTAGAAGAAGTGGAGTTGATTTTGTCTCGCAAGAAGAGGACTGGTGTAGGCTTGAGTGAGAAAATTGGATACAATGGAAGGTTGTCTAATATAAAAGAGACGTTGTGTGAAGGTTTTGTTGAAAATTTTGTTCGTAATAGAGTCCGTAATAGAGTCTGAAGGCTTCATTGTATTTGTTGTTGTAGATGCGTGTCTTGTGACATTATCCGTATCCTATGTCCTTATTTTGCTGTTTTTGTTGTCTTCTAAGTTGAATTTAAGGAAGCGAGCTATCTGTTCGTCAAAGCAAACATAATTTTTCTATTCTGAAATATTATAATTTCTTGTATCGGATGCATTTCTGTTTTTACCACCTTGGAATGGCGTCTCTTGATTTTATTGCTTTTAGATATCTCTTGTCTGGAGTATTAGTAGATGCATGTATGCATATGTATTTCTATATTCTTCTTACTCCGAATGCTTGCATGATTTGGCAGTGCCTAATGATTGATGAAGCTGACAGGATATTGGAAGCAAACTTCGAGGAAGAGATGAAGCAGATTATTAACATACTTCCAAAGGTATTAGAAACCTTGTTATCTGTTTCTGTTTTCTCCTTCCCCTTCCCCCATTCTGTCATGCAATGAGGTTATGAAATTTTTAAATGCAGTCATGAAATTGAATCATGTTGAACAATCCAACCATTGTTGCTATGTAGATGAGATTGTTTAAATGGAAAACACAAAACAAAGAGTGCTTATGCAATAAGTATTATATATCATTTTAAGAGAAAAGTAAATTGGACAAATAGCTTTCTGAGCAATTTTTTCAAGTGTCTTTTGAGCTTATGAATGGAAGTCTATGATGCAACTAAAAAAAATGTTTTGAAGGGAAAAATAAAGACAGGTGGTGACAATGTTTTGCGAAGAATGTTCGAGTTCCATTTGATATCCTTTTAACCAATATATGACTATTTTGTGATCACTGTAAACAAGGTGTAAAAGTCATGAAAGGTTTTAAACTTGTCATTTCTGTAAGCGTGGTCTATTTCCACCACTATGGCTTCTTGGTGTATGCCCATCTGCAGCACTATTTGGAATTGACTACTTACAGCTAACATGATACTTCCTAGTAATTTTAGTGACTTTGAATGTCAGCAGCTGCTTGCAGTTAAATTTTCTTCTGGTAGGTATATATGGTTTGATTATCTATCTCTTGTGATCTATATGTGGTCATTGGTTAACATGATTTAGGTTTCTGGCCAATCTTTTTAGGATGAGATCTGGTCTATTTCTTTATCCTATTTAATTCTCCCCTTCTTTTCTATCATGTAACTTATATGTAGCTTATATCTATTTTTTTGTTTTATCTAATACCTATGAGTATGGCTAATTAATGTGGTTCTTATTTAACAGAAAAGACAAACAGCTTTGTTTTCAGCTACGCAAACAAAGAAGGTTTGTTTGTCATTTCCATCCTTTGTCACTCTACACTACAGCAAATCTTAATTCTAATTTTGTTTTCTTCACTCAATTTTACTAATTGTCATTCAAATGTGCATTTCTACCATGGTATACTTGAAGTGAATGCTCGGTAATTTGTTATATTTGAATTTTCGTACAGGGAATGCAAGCATATTGCTTACAAGTTGTCTCACTTGTCTGTGCTTCTGAATAAATTTTCTCCATTAAATTTCAGGTTGAGGATCTTGCCCGCTTGTCATTTCAGACAACTCCTATATATATTGATGTCGATGATGGCAGAAAAAAAGTGATGCCCCCCCTGCTTCTATCACAAGTTTTGAAGTTTTTTTAAGCATTATCACATCATCTGACATGATCCTTTCTTATCAATGTAGGTCACAAATGAAGGATTACAGCAGGGCTATGTTGTTGTTCCATGTGCTAAGCGTTTTGTTGTTCTCTACTCATTCCTGAGGAGATATCAGTCAGAAAAAGTGATGGTCTTTTTCTCTTCATGCAACTCTGTCAAATTCCATGCAGATCTTCTCAAGTGCACTGGATTGGACTGCTTAAATATTCATGGAAAACAAAAGCAACATGCCCGGACTACCACCTTCTTCAACTTCTGCAAAGCTGAAAAGGGGATCTTGCTTTGTACTGATGTTGCTGCTCGCGGACTTGACATACCTGATGTGGTATGTTATTTTTTTTTTCTTATTAAGTTACATGAATATATATGACTTGTAGATATGGCTAAGTTGTATCACACTCCTTTGGACCTTTTTATCAGGTATTTATTTCACTATTAACATTTACCCTTCCTGGTTTTAGTTTAGGGTCCCACTGACTCCATTTATGAAGGGCAAATAGGATGAAAAATAATAAATGCTTCATAGGAATTATAAAATGGCGTGTAATAAGGATCACCAAAACCTACTAACTAATAGTTGCCTTATAAAAAGGGCCAAAGGGAGTACTTTTAAGGTTTTCACTCATGACTCTTCTTCAGTTGCTACTTGCAACCAATCAATCAAAGATGCCTGTGGAGAAAAGCAAAAGAGAAAAACAAAATCTTTGTTTAGAAGAATTTCCACCGTGAAGAGAAAGAAATATGGGGAATTCTATAGTACTTTAGAACCGTAACCCTCCAAAACTCCTATAACATGTTATTTTGAAGTTCCCCTAATTTAAGGGGATTTTTTGTGGAAGGTTAACATCCAAACAAGGAAGAGTGTTGTCCCACCTTCTCCATCCCTTCCTTTTCCTTCCCTTATCCTATAAACCCTTTCCTTCCCTCTCTCTCCAACTTTCAAACAAAGCCTTAGGAGGGAAACATTTGTGAGGTCTATCAAACCTGCTACTACTAGAAATCATTTGTGTTGATTCTAAAATGTAATGAAGTTCAACTTGAAGACTTGACAATAGAATACGCCTGGAAATTGTTTCTGTTAATTGGATATCAATAAAGGTCATGCAAACATTTGTCCTTTCTGTTTTGCAGGACTGGATTGTGCAGTATGATCCACCTGATGAACCAAAGGTGCTTCCTGTTCTTTATAGTAGGCTACTATTTTTTTTCCGTTTGTTTCTTTGTAGTCTTATACATTGATCCACAGTATAACATACATATGTTATTATGCTGCTTCCAGGAATATATCCATAGAGTTGGTAGAACAGCTCGCGGTGAAGGTGGAAAAGGAAATGCTTTACTTTTCCTGATTCCTGAAGAATTGCAATTTCTTCATTATTTGAAGGTTAGTTTCTCTCTTTATTGCAGGGGGTAATAATAAACTTGAGGCATGTATTCCACTATTCCCTTGCTTTATCTTATAGAGAGTTCCAATGTAGATTACTTGGGGGAACCTCAAGCATGTCATTCCTGTCTCAATGCCTATATTATAAGAGAAGGGGAACGCAACGGTTTCTGTCCCTATGTATATTCTTGAAAATTATTCTGATATTATTATCCTGGATCATTCAATTATATTCTTATGCTAAATTTCAGGCAGCAAAGGTTCCTGTGAAAGAGTATGCATTTGATGATAAGAAGCTTGCAAATGTACAATCTCAACTGGTATATTCCTGCTTCCTCAAGTGCTAATTAATTAAAATTTTATTTAATAAGGTAACCAACTGCTGCTTATATTACATGGCATCATCTGGATTGTGCAGGAGAAGTTGGTGGCTGGCATTTATCATTTGAACTGTATGGCTAAAGATGCATATAGGTCATATATATTAGCATATAACGCACATTCTATGAAAGATATATTCAACGTTCACCGCCTTGATTTACAGGTAAAAACTCATTACAATTTATTCAAGTGTTATTTTCATGATTTCCTGAACTGTGGATATCCATGCCAAGATAGACAGATACAATATCTGAATTGATCTAGGTCTAAAGTTGCGCGTGTGCATGTGTGCACTGACACCTAAATACCTTACCTGATGCTATAAGTTGGCTGCCTCTGGGAGTTCTGCTATTTTACTTTCATTTTAATCTCAAACCTCAGAATAGGTGTAGATTGTAATGGTTGAGTGAGTAATAAGATTACAATAATAACTGAATGAAATCAAAACAATTAAACATGGCAACATAAAGATGGAGTCTTGCTAATCATTTGTCAGACATTTGCAAATGGCATAATGTTGGTTGAGGAATCAAAAGAAGGGGTTAATGCTAAACATAAGTTGTGGAAGGAGATTTTGGAATTTAAGGGTTTTTGCTCGAGTAGAAGTAATATGGAATATATGCATTACAATTTTAGCAAAAAACAAGTTGTGAACCATGCATTGAAAGTTAAAATTGAAAATGGTATTATACTACTAGTCTCCAAGTTCAGGCACTTGAGATTGATTTTATAGAATGATGGTAATTAATTATGTTACTAATAGAATACAAACTAATATCATATATTGTACCACAATACGACTAACTATCATATATGGTTTGGAGAGTATTATTGTACTGCAATACTCTTAAAATACAAGTTGAGTGATTAAAATGGAGAAAGACATTGAGTTATTTGTGATCATAAAGTATCTATAGCTGATAGAGAATTTTATTTGTACTGTGATATGACCAACTATTCTACATGGTAGTGAATGTTGAAGCATAATGATTGTATATGTGATAATATTGGAGTGATACCTGTCGTAAAAAAAATAACAGAAAATTGTTTAAGATAGTTTAGTCTAGGCCATTGTTGGAACAAGTGAAAAAAGTGGATGACATGATTTTTAGTCCACTAAAATAAGGTAAAGGGACCAAGAAGATCTTTAGAGAAATTATTAAAAAAATTTATTTATAAATAATATTTCTGAGACTTTAGTTTTTAAATGTAGTCAACTTACCTAGTGAGATAAGGCTTGATTGTTGTTATTGTCAATTTCTCCTTTCTTTCCTAGGCTAAAATGCAATTTCTCTCCTTCTACCCTTATCTATTGCTAAATACTTTAAGCTTTATCAAGCCTTTGTTTGACGCTATTCTAGCTGCAAAAGGAGTAAAGCACTGCACCATGACTCTGTAGAACATGTTCAAAGATTTAGTTAATGGCAGAAAGTAATAATTTTCTTAATTTTGTGGTAGTTTTAAATGCCATCCAGGGATTTTATCAAAAAAGTTGTTGTCTACTCTTGTATACTCAGTGGCAGTCTGGCTCAAGTAACAATTGCTGTCTATATTATACCGTGCTCCCTTTGGAGAGCTGCTGTTAAATATCTAAATCATCAGTGTTCTAGCCAAATTGTTGGATCAGAAATCATGTATAAACTTAAACATGATATTACAACTTACGGCACTTTTGCAGGCTGTTGCTGCTTCATTCTGTTTTACAAACCCACCGAAGGTGAATCTGAACATAGATAGCAGTGCTTCAAAGCATAGGAAGAAAATACGCAAAGTGGAAGGAAAGAGAAGATGATAAAGGGAAATTTGTAAAAGCATGAGCGGGAGACATGTCACGGCTGTGCAGTGGATGTGATTCCTACATTCTCCCTCCCCATCCAAAAAAGTTTTGTTAGGAACCCAATTTTATGTGGTTAGATGGATTTTATTACTTTGTCAAATGTTAGGTTAGTAATTATTTAGTGATCAGAATATTTCAACTGAAATGTGGCATGTGCATTTCTGAACTGTAATATTCGACATGAGTTCCGGTTTCCCATCTTACGTTTTCAATTTGTAACCTTATTTTTTCTGTTGTAATTTCTAACATCAATACTCAACAGCTTTTGAAAAGCAACAACAATACGGAACTGAGCTACGTCGATCTTTTCTCCGTTAATTATGTAAGATTTCATTTAAGAAAAAGACTCGGTTTGTTTTTGGTTCTTGTAAATATTATTCAAATTGGTCGTATAAAAATTTGTAAATGTTTAATTCATTTAACATTGTAAATAGATATAAAAAAAGTCTCTTATTCAATTAAACCTATTTCTATTGGAATGTCTTTAGATATATCCTTAAAAGTTCTCACATGTAGTTGTCTCCTCCCATATATTTTTTATAGCTCAAATATATGTTTTGTGGAATATCTTGATTAACCCTTCTAAATCATCCTAAAACTTTGTTTTTAAATGGGCTTCTGAGACAACTTGTGCAGCATAAGTGATGATGGTATTAATATTGTCTTGTGAAACCAATAACTTCAAAGACATAATTCTATTTCTAATCCTTTTCATATCTATGACGTCTTTTTTCTAAGTATTATCTATAATTATGTTTACTCTATTTTTTTCCCTTAACTTTTTCTACCTACTAAAATTTGAAACTTTTAATAGTCTTTAGCCTTATTTCTAACCCATTTTGTTTTCTTAAAGACATATGATATTAGTCTTTCTATGAATCATAATATCCACCACTTCTAACGAATTTTCTATTAAAGTACTAATATTTTATAAATCAAACTAAGACACGTTTTAGACTAACTTCTTTATCTACATTCATCTAGTCAAATGTGAGGATCCTTGCTTATTTAACACTACATCTGAGTGTTAATACAACGCGTTACTTTAGGATAACAACCTAATCCCAACACAATATCTATAACATTCTTAATTTGTTTAATATAATAAGAAAATAATTTCAGAGGTAAAAAAAAAATTTAATTAAAATCATTTGCAAGCTAAATACAACATGGAAAAATATAAAACATTTCATTTACTTTACTCAAACTTATAAAATTTAACATGATACAGTAATGAGAATTAAATAAATTTAAAAGAAAAATAAAATAACATTAATATAGATTGTTCTTATAAATTTACAAGAGGTTGACATTTGCAAAATGTACATCAAAATACATTAGAACTCATCTATATCATTTACGAAATACAAAAATATGAAAAGTCCTAATAAGCAGTTTATCCACCAAGAGATTGAAGACGATACTAGTTATCCCTATGTCATTCCTTTACCTCAAAAGGTTTTCAAAATCGAGATCATTATCTAATCCGAGATAGAGATCTCTAGAGTCTGCCGCGACTTCCACATATGAAACTCGCTCAAAGGTGACTCGAGTTAACCTCCTAAAAAGGTCATGATTATGATAAGTAAATAGGTAGGTTACACCTGATAGAGTTCTAACAGTGCCTTGATAAAGGTACATACATGGGATGTGGTAGATCCTATTATTTACAAGAAAATCTAAAGGCATACTATAGTATAATTCGATTTCCATCATGATAATATTCCTAGGTATATCATCCACATGTACAACAAACTTAAAATGACAAGTCCTCTAATATTCATTAAATACATAATTTAACCTATATTGTATAGAGCTATCTATAAGTCTAATTCTCTCTTTCGGTGCTGTCATCTTAGTTCCTTGAAAGGTTATGTAAGGATGAGTCTTTGTTTCATTACTAAACATACATCCACAATTAAGTCACACAATACAAGCAAAGACAATACATCAATCAACTAAGTCACAAAATCATATTCATATACATGCAACAATTATTAATTATTTAGTTTATTGCATTTCCTCTCTACTAATATTCAGAGTTCTCATTTCACATTCTCACTGCCCCTAGGATCTCTTGAAGTCTTCCTTAGCATAGATAGTTGTTGGATAGCCGCAGCTACATAGATACACCGTGTGTCGATTCGGCCCATTTTAACAAAAGCGTGGTCATGAGGTTAAATCAAGAAATGAGTGTGAGGCTTGTGGTGTTATTACTCTCAGTTGTTATCCGTAAATCAAGAAAAAAACCACCATCCTTATTTTTTCGAGATTTCTCAAATTGCTTCCATCTTTCACACTCTTAGTGTATCTCTGAAATATCCACACTTGTCCTTATCATTTCCCTTCTCGTTCCATTTTTCCCTTCTCATTTCATTTTTCCATTTTCGTATTTCTCATCAGAACCCAACTTGACATTTTTACCTTAATATTTTGTTCATCCTTTCCCCTCTCTCTTTTATTCAAGTTCATTATCTATGTCACATACCATTCAAACATTGCCGGAAGTTGGTCACCCTCAAACTCAATCCACAACATATATACATATACATAGATATGCTCAAAATAGAAATCATTCACATCATCAAACACATGTAAATATGTTTCAATCCAATATATATTCATAATCATGCATCACACTACAAACCCTTTCATGAGTACAAATATAACAAGTTTTTAGTAACATGATAGAATTCTCCTTACCTTGAAAGAGAAGTTTAGTAAAAGGTTTACGAGGAATCTTACTCAAAAGGTTGAGTTCTTCCTAAATATCATAAAAAAATTCTATTTAGATGTAAAAAAAAAAGAAAATAACCAAAGGAATGGAGAACCAAAATTCAAGAACTTACCAAAAAGGAAGAAGAGTGAACTTCTAAGATTTGATCGGAGAAAGATTGAAGTTTTTTTTAAGGATTTTCTGAGTAAAAGAAGGAGAGATGTTAGAGAAAATAGAGAGGGGTTGTAGCTTGAATTATAATCTAAGTTTTTCAACTTGAAAACCTTTAAATACCCCTTAACTCACGACATTTTTGCTACAACGAGTTTTTCTCTCACTGCAGCGAAAAAATCAGACATATTTTTTCTTACTTTCTGTCACTTTCACTACAGCGAGAGGATTTCAGAGAACCTAATTCTAGACGACTTCTCTTGCTATAGTGAGATACATCTCGCTACAGCGAGAAATCCTATAACTCACACATCTAAAACTCTCTTAATTTCAAATAACATGCATTAATAATTATCATAAAATACAAAATTAATAAATAACAAAAATAAGAGTGTTACAGTATCATCATCTATAATCCATATAAAAAAGGTTTTGACAAGTTTTATATTGATTGTCAAAGACTTAACACAACCTTCCTCCTTTATCCTTCTTGGGACTAGCCATAAAGCCATACATAGAGTTAAGGAGTGAAATTCCTAAAAAAATAGAAAAAACAACCCACATAGGCCTTGTATTTATAGGTTAGGATAAAAATCTAATTACTTAGGCAAAAAATTTCTTTCAAAAAATGACAATCCACTATATTTCACCTGTGAATTATCAACAATGTCAAACCTCTCAAGGTTTTGTTTGAGAGTTTGGAAGAAAAGAAAACAAAATAGTTATTTAGTTTGGAAGGTAAAGGAAAATGAAAGAAATTAATACAAAACTTCCTAACTTTGACGAACTTAAAAATATAGAATTAGGAGAGGTTATAAATCTTTTCCCTCTTATCTAAAAACTCTCTAATTAACATGGTTAAACATTGCATAAATTTATTCCTTCCCATCCCAAAAAAATTAACTCTCAAATAAAGCTTAAAATGAATGACAATATTACTTTAAAGTGACAAACAAAGTTTCATGACTGAAAAGTTATATATTAAAAAACCAATCATGTTGCTAATCTTCTAACACTTATTATATGTGAAGATAAGGATCTCATTGACTAGATCATAAGTCAATAGAGTTCCTTGAAGTTGGTTGCTGCCAATCACTGTAAGGGCAGAATTTTTTCCGTCTGAAAATGGTAGGCAAACTACGCCCGCTTCTACTTTAAAGAGCTTTTGATTGGTATTCAACTTGAAAGAGACAAAATTTTCACCTGCAACATTGCCATTTTCAAAGTAAAATTCAATGGTTGGATAGACATTAGATGGGTCATCTTTATAACAAAACTCTAACTCCTCATATCTTGGCCTCCTTGTAAGGTTATGATCTGTTCTGCGTATCTCTGATCTAAAAACGCTATACGCATCACTTGGTAAATAGGTTAGAACTGTTTGCATATCTATAGTAACCCCACCATCATAGTTCAGGCCATAGCCCCAAACTCTAGATTGAATTTCTATCATAAACCCATTAATGGCTATACCCACAAACTGCACAAAGTAATAGTAAGGGTATCTACTATTCTCTCTCAAGGGGACCATAATGGAATTTTTACCAACACCATGTTGATCTATTGCGGGTGAGGTGTCATAAAACTCAAGAGAGGAGGGTCTTTCTGAACCAAAACTCACTATGCAAAAAGAAAAGGCCTTTGCATGGAGTTGACTTTGGACTGAAAGTGGGCCTCGTCCTAGACCAAAAACTCCTGAGAACTGAGTCCTAAATGGGCCTTCATACGAATCTCCGCACCCCATGATGAAGTCCTGCACCTCTACATCGGAATGCTCGAAGTATAGAGTGTCACGCACCATCATACCGAAGGAGCGAGATTCTTTTGCATATTCCACATTGTATCTACAGGTCCATCCAGTGCAATTTCCAAAAATTTTCCTCATCATAGGGATCAAGCATGTGTCAGTGTAACAACCAAGTTCTCTGAAGGAACTTGATGCCCGAGTATTGAAAGGAGGGCGCTGCATGGGGTAACAACTGCTACAAGGATCACATTGGAACCATGTGATGGGACTCCCTATGTCCATCCTAACAAACACAATTTGCACTGGAGTACCGATCCATATGAACATTGCATAGGCATCATCAGCAGGGTATATATCTGCTGTGGCTTTGATATGAGGATAATGAACTCCTGCATTGGCAATGATAATGTCATTCACCATTTGCTTATGGTATAGTGGGATGCTAAGCATGGGCACAGAAGGAGGAGATTGGGTAGACGAAGAATGGGATAGAGGCATTGTTAATAATACACAGCAAAATGCCAATAGGATATCCATTTTGGCAATTGTTTTTATCTGCTTGTTGGTGATCTAATTTAAAGATAATGGGTGGTTTGTATATATTGCTTTTGGATTTTGCCCTTTGCGGAGTTATAGTTCTTGCAACGAAAGATGGCAATTAGCTATTTCACACCAGTGATCTACTTTATCTTAAATATTGTGTTGGCTTAGAATTTAGGGTCTTTTGACGAGCTTACCTTTTTTCATTGGACCATAAGTACTTTTTTTATTGTGGAATTAACTCTTTTAATTTCTCAATATTATTTAAATATAATCGAAGTATATATCGCCTAAATCAATCACGAGTTAATATGAGCCTTGGGTTTGGTACTTCATTTCATTTGCGTGGTTCACATGAAATGTTAGAATTATCATTAGTAAACTTTTTCGTAGCATGTCAGTATCACTTCTTTCTCATTAGAAATCTACCCACATCCAAGGTGTACAGGACTTAGTTTTTGTATTGATTTGAAATTTTTATTTTAAATCTCACTGTAGAAACTAAAGTTTTTTTTTAAACAGATCATTTCATTTGAAGCTTATTTTTTATTAAAATTAATTGTACAAAATGAAGTTTATAATATTTTAGGCAAAGACACTAAAATAGATTAATTAATTACTTGTGCACAGAGAAGCAGAGTGACAATGACAGCTAGCGTTAAAACGAAGTGTATTCAACCGCTGAAAAAAAATAATGTAAACGACAAAACAAAAGTAACGATGTAAATAAAAAGCGTCCAGCGATGCCTGATGATGGCCTGTCCCAACGACATCAGGCAATCTGAAAATATAAAACGACATTGTTAAAGTTCACTAATTCGAACAAGTTGCTGATTTTGGGGCTTTTTTTTTTTTTTTTTTTTTTTTTTTTTCTGAAATCAGAAACGTTATCCTCATTCATCGAGGATTGTTGTAATTTATGATGTTTTGATGCGCTTTTTGACTTGTACTGGATATAAAAGGTTTCGATCTTTTTTATTGGTCATTGATAGCATATATCGATACCCATAAGGGCAGACTTGAAGGGCTAAACAAATTGAATTTGATAGTTAGGATATTTATATAACACAAGGATTCAATATCCAAACTTCACTCGTTTAAAGTGAAAAAGATATATAAAATAAAAACTTATATATCTTCTATTTAAATTTAAATATTTTATAAAAATATTGAATTCAAGTATCTCAAGATCTGGAAATTGTGTTTGTGAATAGTAATCATTTTATTGTTATGATTGAAAATTAATTTGATCCGAAGGTTGTGTGTATATTTTTAAAAAATCAGGAATAGATATATTTTTATTATTTAAAGAATTACCGAGAATCGTTATTATCAATTAAACTTCAGAATTGTTATGATGTATTTTTACTGAGTAAAGAACATACTTCAAAGTGTTCTTTATTTTTAGCCTAATTGATTGTGTAAAAGAAGTTAATTATTTTATAAATTTATTAATATATCAGTTTTTAACTTTTTTAAATCACATGTCTTTTACAAAAAGTAATTTTGTCTGGATTTAAAATTTAATTTTAATATATAAAAGTAATATTTTTTAAAAAAATATTTATTATTATTATTATTATTATTATTATTATTATTATTAGTTTTATTATTATTAGTTTTAGTTGTCCAAATATTTTTTTTAAACTTAGTTTTCATATGTTTTTAAATGATTCACATCAAGATGACATAACATAAACTTAAATATGTCAAACCAATAATCATGCTCAGTACCATGTAATGCTACATATCAAAACGCATGACTTATCATCGTTATAAATAAATTGTTAAATAAGTTATAACTAGTGAAAACGTAAGCCAAGTTTTTCTTTTAAAAAACTAAATGAATCATTTATGAAATTATTCATTTTATGGAATAACTTAGATGAACATATATATATATATATATATATATATATATTATGGTTTTATTAACCTCAACTGGATTGATTTTAAACATATAAAATTATTTTTCTTTAAAACAATTTATTTAGTGATATAAAAGTTTAATAAATACTTTCTAAATGAATTTGATAATGACTAAATTTTATAAATTATAAATTTTTATTTTTTAAATATAGATCTAATTATCTAACTTAAATGATCAATTAAATTTTAATTTGAATAAATTTTTAAAGAAGTTTTTGAGAAAAAAAATTAATAATAAAAAATTAGTTAAAAATAATTTGCGTTAATTTTTCATAATATTTTCATTTGACTTAATTAAAATTTAAATAAATAAATTATTTTTATGAAAAAAATTTATTTATATTTTATATTAATTTTTATATAAATATTTCCTTAAAAATTTATCTAAATTGAATCTAAATTAGTTCAAATACATGTAAAAAATGAAAAAAAATGAATTTACTTAACTCTTGATGTCAATTTAGGTAATTTACTTATAAAATTCAACCCGACTCAAGCTCTAACGTAACCTAAAGTTATTTCTTATTTTTTTTTAAAGAACACGGATCTGTTTTGCATTCATTAACAATTAATGACAATAGCTCTGATAATACTAATTGTTGTGCCTTGAACTTTTTTTAAAGTTATTTTAATATGTGCTTAGGGCAAATAGTAAAAGTTTATGTAGACTTTATTTTCATTAAAAATTATAATATAATTATTATACATAATTCTTTTATTGTATAACCATTATTTAAAATTTAGAAAAGACGAATGAAACCGCAACACGACCATTTTCAAATGTCATGTGCCAAGCTAGCAACTATACGTCACATACGAGATGAGATCCTTAACATATTCATCCGCTAAATTATTATTTACAACACAACAAACCCACCCACTTTTGTCCTATTTTGGTTATGTTTATATAACAAAAGTAAACTTCAAGTATTTCTCATTAAGCCAACCAAGTGTAATTTAAAGAGATGTACTTATAATTATTAGTAAAAAATTCATGATTAAGATTTAATTTCCTTTCAAAACACTCTATTTTATGTCTCTTGTTTTTTTACTGATATTTCAAAATTTTTATTATTTCATAAATTTAAAATTTATTTATTTTTCTTATTATCTAATTACTTTAACTAACTATTATATTAATTTTCATTTATTAACTCCTTCTTTTACCTATTAAATAGTAATTTTGTATAAAGTTAAAGAACAACAAATAAATTAAATAGAGTATAAATAATTATATTTTAATCAAAGTAAAATAATCAGGTAAATTTTTTCTTATCCATGTGTGTATGTTAACCTTAAACAACAATAGATACAAAGTAAAAGGAGTATATTTATTTACTTTAAAGGAATTAAATACGCAATTGAAAGTATTCTATTATTTAAAACTGGAAAATAGACCAGTCATTTGAAGTTTACTTAGAAGTACAATATACAATTTTTTATTTGATATTTAAGATTTTGTAGAAAAAAAATAGTATTTTAAAATTTATAAAAAAAGATTACTTAGCTCTTTTTATATCATTATTCTATTATATTAAGTGTTTCACTTTCAAAATTCAGATTTCTTGAAGTATTTGACAGTGCGGTTAATTAATCACAAATGTAAATTTTGTCTGGTAACTAGAATTTCTTTAGATGAATTTTAATCCAAACAAAGCACTAATAGTTCAAGACTTAGTGTTAATATTATTATTATTGAATATAACAGGCAGCCACATGACATGAGGTAGCAACCCAGGGAAGAATTTCCCTGTCATATGTGCTTGAAATAAAGGGTATATTAAATTGATGGTCAATCAATCAAGATTGAAATAAAGAATGGGCACAAACCATCGTCACAGAGACTTAAATGAAGAACAGAGGAGGGAGATAAAGAGAGAGATGGATGTGAAGAAAATTGTGGTGGTCGTAGAAGATGTGAGTGTTGCTAGAACTGCTCTTCAATGGGCCCTTAGAAACATCATTCGCTATGGTGACATAATCACTCTTCTCCACGTCTACCATCCCACAGGATCAAGAAGCAGAACCAAAGCTCGTCTTCTTCGTCTCAATGGCTTCAAATTAGCCCTTTCCTTTCAAGACATCTGCAACAACTACTCCAACGTACGTCACCTTTTCTGGTTTCTTGTGTTCCTATTTTTTTTCTCTTTCATTTAATTTTACTATGTTCAAGTTAACGGATGTGTGCCATAATCATAGGATTGTGTTACAGACAAAGGTTGAAATTGTTGTCACGGAAGGGGACCAAGAAGGAACCAAGATTGCTGCCACTGTGCGAGAGATTGGAGCTTCAATGCTTGTGGTTGGACTCCATGATCATAGTTTTCTTTACAAGTAAGTCCAATGTCAAAATATTTCCAAATTTTGAGTTCAATTTCATTTTATTAGTATAGTTGAAAATTGTGACGGATGGAAGGATGAACGATGACCCCCCTCAATGATGTTATTTTAGACAAAAGTCTAGTGTCTTTGGATGTGTTTGGGGAAAATAGAAGGGTTTATGTTCTAATTAGAGGTCAGCTTCTACCAGATAGGTTCTGAGGGTTTCACTTAATTATACTCGGCTGTCTAGCTGATCCTGGCGTTCACAAGACAGCATCAATATGGATTAGTGGGACCTGGGTTTATTAATAGTCCAATTTGTATTGTGTTACCTCTTTCTGCTGCTTTAAATTGAAAAGGTTTATGCCAGTGAGTTTCAAAATTTGTCACGAAGAAAAGCCTTCTTTAATGGTGACAAAGCTAGCCAAAAGCTTTTGGGATCCACTTCTCAGTCTGCTTTGCCTGTAAAAGAACCTTCAGAAATGCCCACAACATTAATTATTTCTAGTTTCACATACATTTATTAATATAAAATTTATAATTAAAATTAAGATAATCATATTTAACGATTCAAAGTTCATTTTATTAAATTATGTTTATTTTTCTTCTCATAAACTTAAAATATGTCGCAGGACCATTGAATTGCATTAGACACCTACTCGCCTATACAATGCTTTTGTAGTAGTACTAGGAGAAATCATAGAACTCAAAACAGTGTTTTTATTCATTGGTAATAGATTCGCAATGGCCCATTCCCATAAAAGCATAGCCAGCAACTTCAACTGCAGAATAATTGCCATCAAGGAGCCTTATGCGTCACCAGTGAGGCCCATGATATCAGCAGTGGCTGTTCTAGATAGTTCAACCAACGTGGACTTGTCGCTGATTGATCTTTCTAGATTACAGTAAGTTTCATGCCGATCACGCTCATCATCAATAATTTGATTCATTTCTCAACATGCTAGATTGCTTACTTGAGATTAGGAATTTAGACTTCAAATATTATTAGTCGTTTCCAATTGCTGCATAAGTCAAGCCATATTTCATAGTGCATCTTTCTTTGTTTTTAATCCAAAGATTTAGTCTTAAAACTAGGTTTAAGTATTTAAAAGTAATAATTATTTTATTAAAAATAAATATTTATTATACCCAAACTCAACCGTACAAAAAATTGAGGTTACAAAATTTGTTACTAAAATGAGACTTCAACAATTGTACTTGTCATAGATAGATTTGGATCCTCTTGTAATCAATATGCAGGTGAATCATGCGATTAATATGATATATTCATATAAATAAATTATTTATTATATTTAATTAATAATTAACTCGGTTATAGAATGGCAATGCAGAGTCCCTTCTTCACCTCCACCAAAAATACCATACCGAATCTGCCCAAACCCGTCTGCAATTATATGGAGATCAAGGAAGTGTAGGAGAAGGTGAAGATAATTTCGTACACATTTATTTATTTTTCCCTTTCCAGTTTCCTATAATTAATGATCACGTGCCACACATACACGTGCAAGAGGTTGCAATTGACATAGAATACTTTGGTTGTTTTTATGCCTAAATTTTTCTGATTGTACAAAGGATCCTGTGATATAACATTACCTTCTCACAGATTCGAAGATCGAGGTAGACTTATGAGTTTCTTTTATATTTATCTTACAAATCTTGCCCCAGCTAGAGCCACTTGACGCCGAAAATGCCTCACCAATTCAAATCCTACTAATAAATAAATATATATTATCTCATTTTACTGAAAGATGAACAGGATTTGAGAAAACATATCTGAATCCGTAAAGTTTGATGAAATAAATGCAATATTATATCAACCTTTGGTGTAATATATATATATATATTTATATATATATTAACTAAACCCTCATATTTTTTTACAAGACATGATAATTGAGACATGACAAGTTTTTTATTAGACGAGAGGAGAGAAAACTTTTTCTAACTTAAGTATATTAGAGATCATGACCATTATTTCTATTTTAGATTTATTAAGAATCTCATTATCTCCTCATGGACTTAAACTTAATTTTTTACTTATTAAATTCATATAATATTTTATTAGTAATTTGAAAGACTTGCTAAAATTAGGCTATTTATATAAAATCATAAAAAATTGTAAATAACTCATATAAATGTTATAAATAATATGTAACCTACCTTACTTTATTAGAAATATAAAATTTTTAATGATCTCTCACTTGAGCTACATATTATTTTGATATTTATTTCACAAAAACTTTAAGTGCGCAACTCTATGTTATTTACTTTTAGTTTATCAAATTTCAGTGTAATAAAATTACAATGATCACTATAGTGAAATCTATTTCAATGACTTTGAAATAAATGTTAATAAGTGGCATGAAAATTACATGTAATATGATCTTAATCATGTTTATCTCTGACTGGTCCAACCTTTAATTTTTATAGAAATAAATTTAAAACTGGAATATAATTATAGCATAAAACAAATTCATAATAGATATAGAAATGTTTAATTTAATTTGTATAAAAGAAAAGTATATAGAATATAAATGAAAAATAAGAAATTACACACATGTTAGCAGTGTGTTCATGCAAAACTTTAGGCACTAAGCCCTTGGTAAGTGGATCAACTAGCATAAAATCGGTCTCTAATGTACTCTTATTGTTATTGGAATAAAAAGCTGTTGAGTTGTTGTAACAATAAATTTTTAATGGTCTTTCAATACTGTCGACTAGACACAAATTAGTGACAAGGTTTTGTAGCAATATACCCACCTGCAATATACCCACCACAAATGTTTTATTTGGACGAGTATAAACTTGATCGTACATCAAACTTTTCACAGCTAATGCATAGGGAATTTGTAACACCCTTAATTTATTGTTCAATTTATGTAATAATTTATAAAATAAGAAAGGAAGATAAAGTAAATTTCTTTATACTTACAGTGTGAAAATTGACGTAAAATTTAAACTTTCACTTTTATCATTCATTTTATGAAAATGCAAAGGTATTCAAAACGAGATGAGATAAATATTTACTATTACATTGTAACTTGCTAAATAAATTTACACTTGAACAGTAAGAAAATATACGTATATTAACTTTCATTTTGATATAAGAGTTCAATATTTACAAATCAAAACCTCAAAATACATTTGAACTTCATTTAGGTAATTATAAAATCAAAATACTTTAAGTCCTAATGAGCAGTCTATCTCCACACCGAAATACTGAGTTGGTCAAAGTTCTTGGGTAAAACGGAATGGTCTTTCAAGATGATCGTGATCATGGAAAGTATAAACATAATTTATAACATCTTATGTATGAACCATCCCTGTATATACATACAAGTTGATGGTATGGTGGACTCTACCATTAATAGGGTATGAAAAAGGAATACTATACCCTACAATGATTTCTACTATAATTACATTATCATTTATATATGTTCATTATCTATTACAAGTTTACAGTAACAAACTCTCTACTACTCTCTAAATACATAATTCAACTTACTTTCTATAGTACACTCAATTAGTCTAATAGATCTTTGAGGGGTGGCCACCTTTATTTCCTGAAAATATTAGTAAGGATAAACTTTTCTTCTCACCACTAAAACAAGGTCCACCAATTCTTTATCTTGTTTTATCCTATTAGTCTATTAACTACATGTGGTAGTCGCCTACTATGTAATCAATTATGAGATGCTAAGAGTGACCAATTCCTAACATACATTTACAAGCAATAGAATAAAAATCAATCACAAATACAGATTGAGATTATCATTAAATGTAAAAATCACATATAGTCATGCAAAGAATTCACCATAGCCTTCAAAGAAACCTTCCTCACCTTCACCAATGACGTTTGTATCAATGACTCCAAATGATGTGATAAATCCATATTTTACTAGTATTTTAGTTAATTTTCTAACATATTTCTGATAGAAAAGTAGTATTAGAAAGCTTAAAATCCCATAAAAATGTCAATGTCCAATTTAATTCAGCTTTAATGAAATAGTTCAAATTGTTCAGATTTTGTAAATTCCTTGTGAAATTTTATTGATTGAAATAATCTTTGTAGGAAATTGAGCCAAGAGTCTTAAGGATAAGGTTTTCAGAGGAAAAATTAGATAAAAGTGGAAACTTTGGACAGAGTGGAAAAACCAAGGTTAAGTGCTAGGCGTAACTACTATTACCAAGAAAAGCGACTACTTTGAGGTTATTTTAGAAGAACATGTTGGGCGTTATCATTTTTAGCAAGAAAAGTGATTGTTCCAGAGCTTGGATAGAAAAAACAAGTTGCGTCTTACCACTTTCTACACAAAAAGGAGTAACATAGAAAGAACACACTTGCGCATGGTTACTTTTCTCACAAATAGTAGCCATGTGCAAGTTTGTTTGAAGAGATGAAGATGCGCATGGCTCCTTTCCTTGCCAATAGTGATAACGTGCATGACCATTATGTAAAACAAGTTGCACGTTGCTACTATTTCCCTGAAAGTGATTATTCCAGAAAGGATAAATGGAACAAAGCTTGCGTGTAGCTCTTTTCTGCATAAATAGTAACCACGCGCAAGACTTATGAAGCATTACACCTTTGTTACTATTTTCCTGAAAAAAGATTATTACAAACTTGAAACCTCAACAGAAACCTTCTACGTAGAACTTTTTTTTGTAAATAGTGACTACACCTGAAAAGTAGGAAAAAATTATAAATACTTCCTAAGCTCAGAATTTTAGGATCTTTGGTAATTTTTTTTCATTCATTCTTACACCTTAGGAGAGTTAGAGAGAGAGATTGGGGATAACTTCCAAGTTCTGAATACTGAAGAACCAGATTGGGGATTGGAATCATGAAGAATTTCTTCTTCTCTTTCCTTCTCTCTTCCATTTGTAATGTGTTTCTAAATTCTTTTTGTTAGGGATCTATGGATCCAAATTTTATATTATGACTTGATTTTGTATCTAAACCTTGAGTTTTTGGTTGGATTGAGCAATTAGTTTTATTCTTAATGCAATTATTGGATTAATCATTCAATTGATTTGAACCTTTTCATTTGTGGAGGTTGAGTTAGTTTCTTGGATCTGAATTAATTGCCAAGGTTTTTGATATCTTAGGGTTAAGTGTTAATAATCTTGTAATCTTATAATTTCTAACGTTTAATGCAATGTTTAATTGAATTACACCTAAAGAATTAGAGTAGTAAGTTAAATATTAGGGTGGTCATTGAGTCAAGAAATTGACCTTTGGTCAAAATTAGTGAAATTGATTATCAACCAATCAGAATACTTAAGAGTTTAGAACTTAATCAAGTTGCAATTAAAAATTTGGTGAAGTAATCCCTAACTACATTCCATATACTTTTGTAATCTCAAATTTGTAGTCCTGTTTTACTGCATTTTTACAATTCTATTCATTTTATGATTTGATTAATACTTGTTCAAAACCTTTCAAATATTCATTTAGTTCAAATGGTTATTGATTTGTGAAGTGAGAATTGAAAGAATTAATCCTTGAGGACAATATTTAAGATTCAATTGAATTATGAAATTCTTTTAAAAGTTGCTACAAATACACCAATATACTTGTTAGTTAGTGCTCTCTAAACTTGTGACATGTTGTCAAAGATGCGTCAAAATCAAGATATCAAAGATGATATTGCTACTGTTTGTCAGGTTCTTCCTATAGGGTTTGAAGACTTTTATAAATTGGCTGCTCGTAGATAAACACAGTCGTGCATTACCATAAGCATGACTGTGCTATAAAACGAAGCACCCTCATGCTGACTGCTGGAGAATGAGCATGCTGACTATTACGAAGTTCTATTTTTCAACCAATTTAGGCAAAAAATACACTCAAAATCTAACTGACCTTCTCTTATTCATCTGCATAATAATAATAGAAATTAGTGTAAAAAGATGATGAAATAATGACCATGTATAAATATATAGGCTATAAAAACATATCAAAATATAGACTTAACAACAAACATATGCTAGTATTATAGCTACCTTACCATTTCATTATTTCTTCAATAACTTGAGTTAGCTAGTGCCACTGGTATCCACTTTATAGTAAAAGTTTTGCAATTTTTTGATGTCACGCTCTTGGTTTTTGTACTTAAGGATGTTCATAGTTTTGTTTGGTTCAGTTTTGAAGCCAAAGATCATTCGTACCAATTATAAAAAATACACATATTTTGGTTTAGATTGGTTGGATTCTAATATCAAAATCCATACAAACCAAATTGTGTAAATACAATTTGAATTTTATCAGTTAAAATGGTTTTCAATTTTCATACACTTGTAACAATTTTACATAGAAGTCACAGATACAAAGTGTAGAAACATATCAAATTTTCAAAGCAAATTAAATCTCCAAATTGTACAAATAAATAGTTTATACTCAAATGTAGAAACATAAACATGTTCAC